CACCTGGAGAAAAATTAAATCATAGGTAGATGGTGTGTTCAATTTGTTTCACCTTTCACAGTTGTAGAAAAGAGATTTTGAAAATAGTTGTACGTAATTATAAAATATTGTAATTCTTCTAATGTTTGTGCTGTCCTTGCCTCAGTGCATGAGGCAGACCATGGACAAAGTTGTCAAAGAGGTGTTCTTGATTCAAAAAAGGAAAGGATCCCTTGAACAATATAGTTCAAATTATGATGATGATGTTTCTACCTGGGACAAGTCTCGGAGAATTGCAGTAGCAATTTTCTCATTCCAAGCAGCATCAGGGGCGGCCTTGACACAATTGGATCGTATAGCATATTGGTTGAGGAAACACAGTCGTGCCATTTCGTTTGCACTGAGTGACATGTTAACAGACATCAACAGTGCAAGGCAAGCAGCGCTTCAAAACAGGGCGGCAATTGATTATTTGCTGCTGACACATGGGCACGGATGTGAGGAATTTGAGGGGATGTGCTGCATGAACTTGTCCGATCATTCAAAATCTATTCATAAAAATATAAAACAAATACAAAGTAGTGTTAGCAAATTGAACAAAGTTACAGAGTCCTGGTGGGATGATTTGTTTAGCTTTTTTGATATCTCACCATTGTGGAAAGAACTTTTGAAAATAGCATTTTATATTCTTATAAGGCTTGTAGTTCTTCTGCTTGTTCTACCATGCATTTTCGTGTGTATTTAAAAGACCTTGAACAGCATGATAAAGCGGGTGTTTCTGGTTCAAACAGAGAGGGGAGATGTCGGAACTCAAAATGTCCCTCAGACATTTTTAGAGGTTCCAGGCCTTGGTCAGAAGCATTTTAGACCCTGGCAAGCAGCTGAGAACAGCTGTGATTTTGAGTTTGAACCATGGAATGAATTACTAACTTTAAAGGTGGAACAAGCAGTCACAGAGGGTTAGATGGTATAGTAAAAGTAGTCACAAATTAGAGGGTAAATATTTTTAGTATTGTACAGAGGGGTTTTAACACCTGTACAGGGGGGTTTTACTTTGTACAGGGGGGTCAGGAGTTCTAAGATGGAGGAAAGTGGACCTGATCCTGTTCTTCCTCCTTCTTCTTCCTTACCTCCATGTTCTTGGTGATGTTGGCATTTTTCTATTGGTTTAGGCTAGGGACACACTGTTCAACGTAGATGATAGATATTGGCACATTATTGTAAATATAGTACACGTAATTTCTGGTATATAATGTTTGTACCATCCCACTGAGGGGCAGAGCCCCGCACGCTGCCCTGCAAGACAGACCTGCGGCAGGGCAGCAGAACATGTTATAGATAAGCAAAAATAAACAACCTTGAAACCAGCACAGACGAACTATGGCTTCTTCTTTGGCAACGGGGCAGAAAGACAGAGACTTTCTACAATCTCGGAATCACCAATACCCACAGATTCCGACAATAAACTTGGGAGATTTTTTGGACGGGGCTGTACATTTCAGGGAAAAATGGGGGCTGGAAAATTCCCAAGGAGTTGGATGTCCAAGACTCCCCAGGCGGGGGGATTCGGAATTCTGAGGAGAGCCGGGGAGTCGGTAGCAACCCCGCACTGGATCGTGGATTGCTCCTCTCAGAATTCCAGGTCTAGGGGACACAGGGGAGGGAAGAGGGCTAGAAGAAAACATAACCAGGGAAGATCTGTTTGAAGGTGGCTCTGTCTCCATTCCATGCTTTGCTTTTAAGATGGTTCAAATTTGTAGTGCCCAAAATGTCAATTTGGACATGTGACTACTCCCCGTTTTCCCTAAAATCATTAATTTCTGACCGATCTGGTCCTAAAACTGTATGTCGGTAACCTTTTTGGGGGTAGTCACCTCAGGGAAATGGAGAAAGAGCCACTTTAACAGATCTTTAATTTGTCCCTTTTTAACAGAAACCCCACCCCCCATAAGGACACCCACAACCTGGAGAAAGACTCCCTTTTGTTCTGCGGTGAGAGACTTCTGACGAAGCTGCCTCTCCCGTCCCCCAGGAGTGCAACCTCTAGAACAAGGTCTGCTGCAACCAGGGGTAATTTAGGGGCCACGGACCTCTTGCAGGCTGACGTCTGGATTTTGTAATCTGAGGGTGGCAGCCCTGCTGGTCCTGTCCGTGAGGTCTGGCGGCAATCCCAGGCCCTATGTTGGGTGCCAAGTTGTCGCAGTGCCTCTTTGGTCTTCGGCCAGATCAGGTGCTCAGCACGGCTGACAGCAACAGCCACTCCCTATGACCACCGGTAGGCTGAGATGCACCAAACCAGTAAAGGACCTTAGGCGACGTTGACAAAGACGAGGGAGTTGTCCTTTTGGGGGTATCGCAGCTCCAAGTTTATTGGTAGTCCACAAGCCCAACCACAACCTGAATCGGGTATGCCCCAAAAGGCAACTGAGAACAGCTTGCAGGGGTATATAACAGGGGGTGGCAACACGCGGAGGGAACAATAGAGAACCAATAGGGAACCACCTGGGAGTGGTGAAGGGAATGACAATCAGGAGGGGTGTCCAATGAGGTGAGAAGGAGGGAGGGGTCCCTGGGGATCAGCCCATCACCCAAGGCCTTAGCTGGAAGGTTCTGGAAAGGAGGGAGAGGCCTTAGGGTGACAGACAAGCCCCAGGGTGGGGTCAGGGAAATGACTCAGCATAAAGTTACATAACATGGGAGGGGAAAGGGAAGACTGACAGGTGGAGGGGGAGGAGGAGAAGGAGGGATGGACCATTTAACATAAAGAGGGGAAGAGGGAGCAACCATAACATGGGGGGAACTTAAAACATATCCCAACACTACAGCATTGTTATTAACGTTTGCATTGACTGTCTTGTATATGCTTATTTGAATTTAGAAATCAGGGCATTGTGGAAAATTTATATTATACAATATAAATTATATTGAAAACCAAAAGATTTAACTTACATAAGAAGACAAATACCCAACGGATTGACAGCTAAAACCCACAGCCTTAAACAGAAAACATACAAACTCTTTTAATATTTATTTTGCGAAATATCAAGCCTATTTTGCTACTCATACCAGGACAGAACTCTCACTCCTTGCCCTCCTTCCTTGTTCTCTTCACAACTTTCTAGGCACCACACAGGGATGTGTGGTGAGGCTTTCTTTTTTCACATCACAGGGATGTGATGTGAGGCTTTCTACCCCTCACACCAGGGATACTTTGGGCAGAATTGTACTTGCTGCTGCACGGCATAGTTTGTGTTTTAAACGTGGGGATTTTACCATCTGAAATTCACATTCTTCACTTTGTTATCAGGTAAAGTCAGAAACCACTGCATCAGGTTTTCTTGGAACTGGTGCAAATGCAAAAAAAGTTAACTACCGCTGATCCCCAGAAGGAAAAGACAGCAGGAAAAATTCAATTCAAATAACCCAAAAAATGTTCACAGTGAGCAGGGAGAAGATAAGGAATGGGTGAATTTCTGATCCACAAAGAAAGCTATTGCGTGAAGCTTGCATCTAAAATGATAACAAAAGATGAAGTGTTATTAGATTCGATTATAAGTGGGAGATTAGTTTAAAAATTGTGAGAACTGGCCAGCTGTGAAGCTTAGCAGATAGTATCAGGATGGAGAGAGATTGTTCTTGGAGATTAGCAGTGCTGTATTTTGGATCCAATCTTGCTCCATTGATATTGGTGGCCTTGTCAGGAAACACTCTTTTAGGACTCTGCAAAGAATCACAGAATCAAAGAATATCATGAGAAGAAAGGGATGCATACAAATACATTGAGTCCAACTCCCTGTGGTTAAGAATTTTCATTCTTAGTAAGAAGCAGTGTGTGCTTATACTTGCAGAATGTGTGGAAGGATTCTTGTGTGTGGTATTGAACAGCTTGTCTATGGGATCTGGCTGAAGAAAGTAGTTTTGTGACTTCACATCTCTAGTCCTCAGTGTAAACAAACAGCTGGAATAATTAGCTGGTATCACAAATGAACAACATCCTGTCTAGGACTGAAAAGGCATATGCTAAGACTAAGAGTCAGACCACTGTAGGTCAGGAAATGGAACATCTGAAAGGACAGTTGCAGTATTTTTCTGGTTTAAGTGCCTTGAAAGAGTATGGAAGTGTGTTGGCTTCATACTACAGTGCCCCGGTCATCCAGCAAGAACTAACGTGAGCAATGTAATTTGGAAATCTGCAGAGACCACGACCATATGAGGGTGAGTGTATGCATGCTTACACTTGCAAGTAGTTTTAATTAATAAAATGCCAGAGGAACTCTTTACCTTGTAATGACTCATATAATCAAAGTACAATAAATATTAACAATTAGAACTGTTGCCATCAGTTCATGTACTCTTAAAGGCACTGGGCAACAAGTGTGATAACTTTGCTGCATTGATATATTCATTAATCCCTGACAGCAACAAGGAAGATCAAGATGTTTTGTGGTGTGAACTGGATATCTTCAAAGACCTAATTAATAGGAAAGGAATAATACCTGAGGCTACGAGGGAAACTTATGTCCTTAATAACAAGGTCTTTTTCAAGGTCTTTTTCTTTTCAAACACAGAAATAGGTTAGGAAAAAACTTAGTTCACCCAAATTAATCATGTGACATGATGGAGCCAGAAACATAATGTATTATGTAAACTGAAATGCTGTTGTAGACTGTTTCAGAGTACCTATTTCCAGTTAGAGATAAAACAGATTAGTGCTGTTGCTGTATCCCTTATTTTCACAGGAAAAAGAATAACAAGGACTGGATAAAATTTAGATATTGAGAAGGCTGGCAAAGATACCAAAGGAAATTAAGAAGCTGTACTATACAGGCACGATTTTGGTTTTTTCGTCTGGCCACATGATGACTGCAAAGAAAACTATTTTTCTTTAAATTAAAAGACCAACAGACAGGGAAGTGTACAGGCCACAAACATGTTCAGGGACAGAAAAACGAATTGTTGACTTTGCAGGTAAAATCTGATCAGTGGATGAGTCAAGAGGGGCTGGTGCTCTGCACCTCAGAATGCTTTTACCTGACCAGTACCCCATCAAACAGCCTGGAATGAAAAGGCAGGGCTACAGAAAACGCTGGGGGGTTTTGGCTTCCACAGACCGGCCAAAGCAGCACCCCCGGAGCAGGGAGCTGGCCCTGCCCAGCCCAAGGAGAAGAAGCAGCGCTCGTGGCGGGCTGGGGTCGCCCTGCACTGGGCGGCCCCCGGCAGAGAGGGCAGCCGCCCCGGGCTGGCGACACCGCCCGCTCGCTCCCGGTGGTCCCACCGCGATCCCGGCGCCGGACAGTGCCATGATCCGGCAGCAGCTCCGAGCCTCAGCCGCCCCGACCCCGCTCCAAGCCCCAGCGGGGTCCCGCCCCGGCTGTGCCTCCGCGGGCGGTGGGTGCGGGGCCGGCAGGGCCGCCGCCCCGGCTTTGCGCTGCCGATCGCACTTTGCAGGCGCGGCGGGACTGGGAATCCCGGGCGCCCGAGGCAGCCTCGCCTCCTCGTCCTCCTCCTTCCCCACCTCCTTCGGAGCGGGGCGCATGATGGCGGCAGCCACCGTAGCGGAGGTGAACAGCACCGGCAGCAGCAGCGCTGATACCTCCAGCACGGGCGAGGAGGAGAGAATGAGGCGCCTCTTCCAGACCTGCGACGGCGATGGGGACGGCTTCATCAGCAGGTAGCGACAGCGGGAGGCGGCTCTTTGCTGGTACGGAGCCGTCCCGTCCTTCCTCTCGCCCCGCGTTCCCCGGCGCTCGACTTATGGGCGAGTTGGAGCAGCGGTGGGAGCTCCGCGGCTCCCGCCGGCACCGGAGCCAGGGGCTCCAGCGGGGCCTCGGCACCGAGAGCTTCCCGGGATAGCGGGCGAACACTGCCCGCAGCACTTCCACCTCTGCCGGGGCGGAAAGGTGACGCTCCGAGCCTGGATTTTATCACCTCGTGCCCTGGGCAGGTGGTTTTTGCAAGTCAACACACAGAAAGCCGGTCGTGGGTAATCTAGGAGAAAACTCATACTGTTCTCCTGGATCCTATGATTTTGTTTTGTCAGTACGGTTTAATCAATATTGTTGTTACACAATTTCGTTTAAATTCCTCTGCTGGTCCTCAGAGAGTTAGAGGAGTGTCACGCAGGCTGATGGATTGTGGTCGTTCATTTGCAATAGATACTTGGAAATAAGCCATAGTGCAATGTTTATGTGTCTGGAAGCACTAGCAGTGTGTTTTAGTCAGGAGTTGGTTTTGTGGCAGTGGTATTTCTGAGCTCTCACACCGTAATTTAAAAAATACTGAACATCAAAAGGCGGGATTTGCCAGAGGTCGTGGAAACTTGCATTTCAAAATGAAAACTTATGCTATTGTTTGCAATTAGTACGTGTCTCTAGAGAACTGGGACAGTAAGGGAATTTCTTAAGTTTGCCATTTAACCTGTAACCTGAGAATATGACCCAAAGAAAGGCTAAGTAAACTTGATTTCCCACTGCCATCTCTTTGGAGCCAGAAAGTTGTTGAAAATCTGTAACAACTTTAAAAATAAAGTTCAAGGGTGTGATATTTCTTATCTAAACAGCTCCCTGAACACTTTTTTTCCCCTCTCAGTCTAATGATTATTTTGACAGTTACGGTTTTGAAATGCAAAACCAGCGCTGCAAATTTTTCCTTGTGTAGTCCTTTTGTTGTATTTTTGTTAAGGTTTAATAAACCTTTTAAATTTTCAAAGTAAACAGTTGTTTTTCACACTTTGAAAATGTGTACTTTTCAACCAGTGTGCTAAGACTGCTTCTCTTTCCATTTGCTTATGGTCTTCACGGAATTTATTCTGATGTCTGAAAGCTTGCGATGTTCATGTAAAATGTACACTGTCTCCTCAGAGCACACTTGCTCTTCTGTACTGTCATGTCTTTCTGGAATGTAAACTCTCTGTGTATTTATAATCTAAAGACCTTACTCGGGGAATATTAATGTTTTAGTGTTTCGTACAGACAGTTGAGAGATGTTACCATGACGGAAACTACTCATTTCTGATTGACTAATCCACATTCCCTAAGTTTTGTCCCAAATTTGTATTCTGTTTTCTTCAAAGTGAGTGTTTCAGAATGTTGCATGAACTAGAGTGTTGAAAACACCAGGATATGTCTGAGTAGAGACATTGAATTTCATGACAAAATGGCAATAAAGCCCAGGGCCTGGGTGGTGTTGAAAATTCTTCAGGAGATGGTGGGTTCATTGTTGAAGGTTGCTAATACTTGGGTTCAGAAGGGAGTTGTGCATTAAAGGCAGAACTGGCGTGGCCTTTATCAGAGAACATGGTGTTATAAATTACTGTCTTTCTTTACATCTCTGTATGTGTGACAAAGTAGTGAAGGAATATTTAAGAAATCATCTTTGACATTACTTCATTAGGTAGCCTGGGTGATGAGTTGTATAATGCCTTTCTTGCTGTCTGTAGTTACTCAGTTTTGCTTCTACTCTGTTTTTTGGCCGTGGATTATGCAGGAGGAGACTTGTCCAGTTGGATTTGGATGTCTTTATAGTATGTCCCACCATAGTATTATAGACAACTCTGTCAGGTTTATGGACTACTCACAGTGTCCCTGTTCAAAGTATAGCAGGTGTGGGTTTGTTGTGTAGAGCACTAGTGTTTAGGTTATTGCATCCTTTTTAATGTAGTCAATTAAAAGAAAGGCAAAAAAGTTATGGCTGCTTTTACACTAAATTTCATCTTGCCATTTTTTTTTTTGCATACTGTTTGTCTGGCTTCTGTGTTTGTTTCTTTCTAGAGTTTTGTTTTGTTTTGTTTTGTTTCATATGGGCCAGTTTCTTGGTTTTCCTGTTCTTCTTGCCCTGCTTCTTTGGACTTCTCTTTGCTCATCCTCGTGGCAAACAGTTTTTTTTGTCTTTCTTGCAGCCCCAGTGGAGAGTGGAGGCTGAATTCTGCACCTCACAATATCTTTCACAGCACATTAAACATGACAATAAATGCCCAGGCATCTGTATAAAGAGCTGAAAACACAGAAGCTAGCACTTCAAAATCATCTCCTTCCTTGTGTATTAGACTAGACTTGGCTGTGATCTATAACCTATTATTAGCATGAGCTTCTTTTTAAACACTAGTTTATTTTCAATGCAATGGAACTGAAATTTGCTGTTTTGCAGGTGCTACTGGGTATAAATTTTATCTTTGAAAATTAGTATTCCTTCTACTTGCAGGCTGGAAGCTTGGTCAGTCATTTCTTTGCCTAGCACATGCAGCAGTTTGTTTATAAGGTGTCTTTTTTTTCCAGCTCCAGAGCTGCTAAGGAAAAGAAGATCTTTATACTTGTAGCAAAGGCAGGCATTTTGTGTATATTTATGTAGTTCATATTGCATGGGGGAAAGAGATGTTTGCATTCCTAATGAAATAACATGTTATCTCAGCTGTGGAAATCCTTTGTTTGTCGTGCATCAAACTGTAATAAACCTCTTTAAATAGTAGCAGGGAAGTAGAGGCACAGATGGAGAAGAGGAACATGTCCTGGGATACTGATTAATTTTCAGGCTCTCACCTGAGATATTGATTAAATTTCAGACTTTAAATAGGATGATATCAAAGCAATAGAACATAATTAAGGATGTGCCATTTGTGGTTATAATCCATAAGACACTGAGCTATGGGATTTGAAATGCTAAACCAGTGTCTCTGAGCCTTGCATTGACATGTGCATATTGAAATTTTGCAGCATCTAGCTAGAGAAAAAGACTGAGAAAATAACAGAGTTTTAACTTGTTGGCTTTTACTGAAATGGCTTTTGATTCTTTTGGGGTTAATATTTGTTACTTAATTGTTTTAACATCTTGCAATTTTTTGGCATTCTTATGATATTTCTGCAACAAGAGGTGATTTCACAAAAACGGACTAACCAACCGAAAAGTACCACCCCCCAACTCAGTTGCAAAGCACTCTGCAATTAAGGCTGGATTCTTAATGCTTGAGATCAGCTGGATGAGCATTGCTGAGAGCAAAGGCAGCCTTAAACATTGTTTACAGCAGAACTTTAGTTTTGCAATTGTAGCTGGATTGTGTTGCTATTAACAAAAGACTGTTAACTGAAAAAAAAAAAAACCAGTAATTGCTCTCCTTTGTTTTATTCTGTTTGCTTTGAAAAGTTTCAGAATCTGATGTTCCAGTTATAAACATTTTCAATTTCAGAGGGTTGGTGAATTGTTGAGGACATGTGTGCTTTTCCCTTTTTTTCTTTTTGATGCTTTCTGCATATATAGCCTTGAATGGTGGGTTTCTATGGGTGACAGACTAGATTAATGTCTTCTTCAGAAACTTAATTGCCTTGTAGCTTTATTATATGTGGATTGTATTGAAATTCCATTTAGCACACAAAGAATTTCATCTTCACTGCACAAGTCACTAAATGGGTTTTGGATTACTCAGTTGTAACACTGCAAAATGTAAAGATAACTTTGAATCTGCAGGAAATACTTTTGCTTTAAAAAATGAGATTATGAGCTGTGTAAATAATGGGTGAAGAAAAAATTAATTTCATTATTAAGCTACACATATGTTAGATTTCCAATTTTAACTTTTAAGCATGGATAAATAATTTTACAATAATGAAGAAAAAACTTAAAGCTAGTGTTTAGTTCGCTAGAACTTTGTCATTATATTAACAATAATGGAATTAAGTTTTCTTGGTAGAGTTTTTTCGAAATGGTGTTGTCTATGTGCACAATTTTATTTTTTTTTTACAATGGTCAATGTCTTACTGAAAGTCTTGGTAAAAGCAGAGTACCACTACATAGAGTAAGATGTTAAAAACCCAGTAAACCTATTAACTTTGTAATGAGCCTGTTAAAAGGACATGCTGAATGTGGCTTCTCCAGCCCTGCACAGAAGCAGTTAAAAGGAACTAGCTGGATTTGATTTGTTACCTGAGTGGTTTCAGTGGTACATGGCTTTGGGAGCTTAAAACTTTTGCAAGTACAGGCTGGTCCTTCCGTTTTAAATAGGTTGTCACAGTAGGAGGACATTCACTGCTTTCTTTCTGAGTGTATTTTGCCACCTCTGCCTCCCCCTCCATTTTTTCTACATCTAGTGGCTGTGTGCTGTTAGAGGAGAAAACCCAGTATTTTCAAGAAAAAGAAGTATTAATCTATTCATTGTCTTTTTAAGGGAGGGGATCTCTGTTACTCTCTGTTGCCACTTCATGTAACTTGTATTTCAAGTGTTTGATTTTGCTAATGTGCTTCTACTTCTATACTTAACATTTAAAGAGATACCTATTGAAGCACTTAAGGACGGATAAAATGAAGTAGCAAAATCAGTGTGGGTTGTCTGTGACTAGTCAGCTTACCACTGTTGGTAAAACACATGTTTAATCCATAAGATGACCATTTATGAAGTTATGTGAACATGGTCAATCAGAATCTCTGAAAACTTACTTTGGGCATAAGTTAATATTCTGCATCTAATCTCCACAGGTTATTTCGTGCTGGTTGAAAGTAGCATCAGAGACATGCTGTTGTGAGTGCTCAAATGTCAGCAGGCTAGGCAGTGATAAAGCTATTTATCCTACGAGCAAGAGTTTTGTAAAATGTCAACTCTAACAGAACAGGTGAAAAAAAAAAACAAAACCTGCCTTTGAAGTCTTGTGAGAGAAGTAATATTTAATTCTGCTAGTTTTGCAGATATTGGGATTTCAATTTTCAAAATAAGTTTGATCCCAGTACTGTACAGTCCTAAGTCTGGCCTCAATCCAGCTGTCTTAACAAGGAGACATCATTTAGAAGCAGTTTGCAAAATGTCAGTAAGACTGGGACAAAGCTTTGCTTAGTCTTTGCCTTCAGTCTGGCTCTTCATATAGCTGGGCTCTTCTTGCCAAAAAAGTTAAGACCTCAATACAGGATTTTATTCTTACTTGAGATCTGGAGTATTTGCTCTGTGTTTTCTTTAAACAAGCTCAGTTTTAGAAATTCCAGGGAGGAAAAGTCCCAGATCTCCAAAACTCCCAAGCCACCCCCCCAAACCTTGGTAAAATGTACTTTGTCCTTGCACTGCTGCTTTAGTTTGTCTTGAAAACAGTTTCAGCTCCCAGATTCTGTTCCTAGGCTTAATTTTAGTCTTCATCCATCTCCATTAGGAGGCTGTCACAGGGTTTGGAATCCATGTAACTGAAGGATCACTTTTATATGGACACAGCACAATACTTACTGTATGGTAGATGTATGCTGAGTAAAACGGTGACTGGAAGCACTGTGCTGTTTTTCACATGATTGTAGTCTGTTTTTTCTGTTTCTCCTGGGACTTGCCTTAGTCAATGATTCCAGAGTTGTATAGAATTTTGTGGGGTTTTTAGTCCAACTTTGTCTTCCCCAGCTCCTCTTGGAGCATCATAACCAAAAAAGGAATAAGTTACGGGGAAAGCCTGGAGGGTGGATGTGTATGAGAAACCAGAGAGACATACTTAGTTTAGGATGAAGAAAAAGGTATTCCCTTTGTTACAAATATTGTGTCTAGAAAATACACCAAGAATCAACATTCATTAAGGGATTATGTATTTCAAAGTCTGTATTTCTTACAACTGATACACAGTCAAAGGAATGTATTCAAACTTGAATTGCCTGAACATAATCTGTTTTTTAAGTGGTTAGCATTTCAGTTCTTATGTAAACATCAGACACCTGAAGGGTGTTTTAGCTGGAGCTGTTAACATTTTAAAGTTAGTGGAGTTACTTGGTGTGTTTTATACATTGCTTTTTTCCTCTCCTCACTGGCATTATTAGTGTGGTAAAAGGGACTAAAGTATTTCTCAGGCTTGTTGTTACATGGTATTACTGTATTTTCTTTCTTAGGACCTTGTTGTCCAGATAGGTTGTACTGCGGAAAAACTGACCAAACAGTAATTCACTTGAAAATAAAAATGTCAAATTTTTTGATCCTGTTGAAAGTTTACATCCAGCTGGCTTCTAAGCAATGAAGTCATTTGTTATATTTATTAATTTTGTTGGTTTTATTTATTTTTTAATTGAGATTGTTGAAAATACCACAC